TATCAGAGACTCACTTGAGTCTATTCTGGTGAAGAAATAAATCTACAAAAGCCTGGAAACATTTTTCTTGGACAAACTAATTAAGAAACTAGTTTATATCCCTCACTCAAGGTTGTTAAAATACAGGTCATTCCAGCATGTTAGCAAATCCTTAATGATCTTTAATGATCTCCTAATGTGCTTAAGACCCATTAAAGGCACTCAGGCCTTCCATAACGATTTCCTGAAAGCCCTAAATCTAAACCAGTTATATTTCATTTTAAAGGTCATTATCACAACTTGATTCCCACTAAGACAAGGTATTCTATATCTTCATATACAGCACTGGTCATTTCTCTAAGTGTGACAATTATTTTCAGACAAGAGGATGAAATGCAGACTTTGGGACTAAAACTCCATCCAACGCACAGTGGGCACTTGTCGCTTCAATTTCCCAAGTAATAAAGTGGTATCATACCCTAAAAAGGCGCCACATGTTTTTGAAGACTAAAATAGGAGGCATTTAAAAAAAAAAAAAAGAGTATTGCCAACTATGTACACAGAATAGCATAAGCCATTAAAAAGAAGGCCGTAGCATACCTGACAATTCCTGCTTTACAAATGAAAGCACAGCCAGGTAAACCTGACAGTCAGCTATGATTATCTGCCTCTGAAGCCGGTCGACCACAGACGGAGCGGACTTTCGGACATCAACCTGCGTCGTGGAGAAAAAGTACACACTGATAAATCACACACAAGAATAAGACTCCCTCTGAACAGCTGCTACTTTGTTGTGCAAAGTAATCTCACACAGGAATCGCAAAAGATAGCGGTCACTCAAATTTGCACTGTGAATGGGGTAGCTCCAAATTCCCATTAGGTCTAGCAATGTTTCCTTAACTTAAAAACAAATATGCAAATGACAGAAATTCTTGGGAAACATGAAAATCCATGCAAAATTTTAGAGTTTCACATTTTTAAAAAAACAATGTAAAGTCTTACTTATCCAAAATAAAAATCATTAAAGGTACAACACATTCCTCCAAGCAGATACCCTGAAAAGTCACTTTGTAGCCATCTCTCCCGACGCAGGACTAAGATCAGGGAGCATCCTTTTGGTGTATTGTAACTGGGAGGGGTGGGTTGGAAATGGATTACGTTTCCATTAAGGAGAAAATATTCTGGAATTAAAAATTAGCTTTGAATAAATCCCAAATTGTACTTAAACTCCAGGCCATATAAATAAAAATAAGCAAGTTACTTTCTATACCCACATCGCAAAGTCACTAAGCTGCAGATGCTGGCAGGGTTGTGGAGAAAGGGATCCACTTATGCATCACTGAGATCGCAAACTAGTACAGCTTCTTTGGGAAGAAGTCTACAGAATCCTCAAAGAACTAGAAGTAGACCTCCCCATTTGATCCCACAACCCCATTACTAGATATCTACCCAGAAGAAAAAAAATCATTTTACCACTAAGGACATTTACACTTGAATGTTTATAGCAGCTTAATTCACAATTCCAAAGATGTGGAAACAACCCAAGTGCCCATCACCCCAGAAATGGATTAATAAACCGTGGCATATGTATACCATGGAATACTATTCACCCATAAAAAGATAAAGACTTTGCATCTTTTGTATTTACCTGGATGGAGCTGGACAGCATTCTCCTGAGTAAAGTATCATGAGAATGAAAAAGCAAATATCCCATTACTCTGCACTAATCTGAAAATAGCAGAACAACTACAGGCCCACATTATAGAAAAACACAATGAAATTCAAGAACGGGGTAGGGCCCAGTACGTTCCCACCTAGTGGGGACAGTGTAGGGGTATCTGGCACACCTCCTGGGTGAAGGACTCTACTACAGCCTAGACTCTGGACTTTACCTTATAAATGCAAATAATGTAACCTAATTGTGTGTACCTTCCTATTAACCTGAAATTTCTTTTAAAAATCACTTTTTATAAAATATTGACCTTTAGCATAAGAATGTGTCTAAGGTGAAGAAAAATATCACTCTGGAATAGAACATTCTACATTCTTAATACAAAGTAAACTTGCATAAAATAAGCTAAATAGCTTTCCGGTGCTATCCCAATACCATGGGATATTTGCAAATATGGAAAGTGACGGGATTTTTGCAAATATGCCAACAGTATACATAGCATACGAGACAGGTGACCTGTTTCCCTTTTTGCCTAGATTTTAGCATAATCCATCATGGTCACTATTGTTCCAAATCTAGCCCCAGCACCATTATTCTGTTCATTTGGGAAAATGTCCATCTATCAATGCTTCTGTTTCTTTGTCTGTAATTACATCTACTGTGCGGAGTTGCCAAGAGGGCTAATGAAATACAGCATTAAGAAAATGCTTTTTAAATCACAAGGACCCATCACAAATGTTAATCATTAACACACGTGCTAGGGATGGGACTAGATACTGAGGAGAGACAGGAAAATAAGCTCACAGTCTAATGAGGAAATGGAGACCTTATGACCGTGTAACGCAGTCAGTGCTCTGAGGGGTAAAGTGCAGTCAACCACGGGAACCTGTAAGGAAACCCACTCAACAGGGCTGGGAGCCTCAGGCAGGAATGTTTGGGGCAAACGACATCTAGGAAGTACTAAGGAATGAGTAAGAACCAGGAGAAGCGGGAAGAAAACGTTCTGGGCAAAGGAAAAGTAAACACCACGTCAGCCACCTTAAGGAGTTTGGGCTTAATTACAAGGGTGACAGCTGGCGGGGGAAGGGCCACTGCAAACCAAGCACGCATCATATTTGCATTTTAGCGACTGTACTATAGAGAATAAATTCCAGAAGCAGAGACAGACGTGCCAGCAAGTGAGATGACGGCTGACGTGGGGGGAAGCGGCAATGAGGATGGAAAGAAGTCTATGAATTCAAGAGATACCTGAGAGAGGCCACAGGACCTGGGTACTGACTGGACATCAGGTTTGGAAGGGAGGAAACAAGGGCAACTCCAGCTCCTCCAGACCATCCAGGGACGGCGCTCTTGGCCCAGCAGTAGCCCCCTTGTGGTGGACACCATGAGCCCCTGCAGAGGTGAAGCAATCTAATGGGACTGCCTCCTGGGAGGGGACAGGCATGCAGGAGGAGAGGAAAAGAAGGGGCAGCTTCTGATGACCTCAACCAACAGACTGGCTCGGCACAGCAGAGGAGATGTGTGCGAGACCTTGGGCACACCAAGAAATATCAGGGGCAGGAGATGCCTCTCCAGAACCAAGAACTTTTGCACCAAAAAGCGAGGGTAAAATCAGAATAGTAGATTATGATGTTATTGTGACTTGACTTGTAACCACAGGCTGGTGAGTCCTGGGGAAAATGAGAAAAACAGCTGAATTCCAAAATTATGCCAAAATGCAATTCTCTTCATCCTGCGCGAACTACACACAGAATAGCATCGTGACAACAGCCCTTGCCGCGCGGCTGCCAGGGAACAAGTGACTCCAGGTCACCAAAGAACACATGCACCAAATGGCTCTCGTTACTGAAAGGAGCTTCTGTTGTTTCAAGAGATACATTTTCCACCATTAAAAGCCATATTCTAAGTACCAAAAACCAAAGAAAGGAGTGATGTTCTACATGAATAAGGGGCACGGGGTCCGGAACCGAAAGCCACAGCACTTACGTTCTTCTTAATTTTATTCTTGATTGTTTCAATCACTCCGGCCTCTTCACTCTCACACAGCTTCTCTGTAGTTTTTAAGTCATCGCATGCCAACTGCATTTTTTCTTCTTCAAATGTCATCATGGCATTCTTTCAAAACACGGAAGAAAAAAAAAATGGATGAACCAGTAAGCATGTGAAAACGTAGGCCCATTTACTACCACAAAACATAAAGCAGGAAGAAACGCCCACTTAAATTACTTATTGCAAGTAAAAGAATCACAATGTTACGGTAAACCCCATTCACATCAACAAACTCTGTATGAAATAAGAACATGCCTTTATCACATCAGCGTGAGAAAATAAATGGCAGGGAACGTCCTTCAATTATCATTCTGTACCTTAAGTTCTTGCTGTTACTAAACCAGTAACAAAAATTCTGTATAATTTCTGACGGCTCTGCTCACTTCTGTTTTTCTAGCAGTGTCTTCTTCAAAAACTCATTCTACCCACACATGGATCCCTGGTTCCCCTGAGGACTGCGCAGAAATGCTAATGCAGCAACAGTTGGTAGGTGCTGTTTGCAAATTTTCGGTCTTTCTGGGAATAGCAATTCCAGCGAGTTTACTTACATGGAATTCATTTGATATTATCTGTGGTTAAAAATTCCACTGACAGCTTCTTTCCAGGCACCTGCTGCTGGCAGGTTTCTTCAGGCCACATGTGCTGGGGGAGAGGCAATCTACTGACTCACATGAGACTCTTCCTAGGCGAGCTGAGGTTTCCGAGATGAATGGGCTACGTGCGTGGAGACAGTCACTGCAGGGTACTGGGTTCGTGGAAGGCCCTAACGAACAGCCCTCCATCCCCTATCACATTCCGCCAGCCCTGCCCCGGCATTTTAGGCCACCCCAGTTCTACATTAACCTACTTGTTCCAGTCTAGCCAAAGCAGACCCGGCCATCTTGCCCGAGCTTCCCCACCCTCTCCTTTCCAACCATCCTGTCAAGCTCAAGCCTGCCACAGCCTCACTTCCCACCTGCTCCTCTGCCACCAAGCTCAGCCAAGACCCTTACAGCCTTTTGCCCTCCCTTGGGTCCAAATGTTACCACTCTGACCCAGTACATGTATCATTTTCCTTGAGGTTAGGAACTATGTGTTCTTACAAACAGCAGGCCTTAACGTTTTTTGTTGCATTCCTTAACAAGAGGAAATAGTCAGGAGAATCTCTGTAAGTTGACTGCCCAAGGGACTGTAACAAACTAGTCAACATATACAGGTGGTCAACATAAGGAACCAGCCTACGGGACTGATACGTACATGTTCTGTCTATGAAAATCAGGCCAAGGAGGTGGTCAATGCAGGGACGAGGCCAACTATGGAGTAGAACTATGGAGGTTCTACTGTAGTCTGGATAAAAACTCTTCTCAACAGAAGCTGGCCTGGTTGGGCACCACCGGGCTGTGCCTAACATATCCATTTGCTAATATCTTCCTAACTCTCGAATCTCAGCGCTCTCTTCCTTTTGGTTTCTACTTACAACTTTTTATTTTCTTGCTGCTATACAATTTTATGAAAAATTCCTTTTAAAATATGTGTTCGAAAGTAGTCTGTGTGATGCGACAGTGTTTCTTACGAATGAAAAGTCTTTGTTTTCAACATTGCCCAATTTAGTTTAAATCTCACTGCGACCTATTTTCTCAGTTCCCAAATGCGAGTATTGGGAAATGAAACCCTGACTGACTCACGTTAGCTCCGCTCATTTCACTTGTGCTCTAGTCCACATTTACTCAACGATTTTAGAGAAAACCTTAATTACCCAAAGTCAGATCTTCTCCTCCCCCCAATCCAGTTGTAATGTTTTGAAGATCTTTTAATTACATTTTTATTCTAAAAAGGATTTTAATTGGGAAAAACATAATCCTCTAGAAATAACACGCAAACACTTTCTTTTTAAAATTAGGGAAGAGAGGTTATCTCACAGGCACTGGTTAACAGGCAAAAACTTTCATTTCTGCTTTAAACTCCAAAAGCTTTGCTACGATAGCACAGCCACCAAGAGACGTTATCTATTTGTTTCTTTCCGATATCTCTTCTGATATCAACTTACCAAGAAACTGACAAAGCTGGCTCCAAAACTCATTAATGGGCTATGATTTCTGTTAAGGAAACAAAACGAAATTATTTTCAGTAAAATTTTATTTGAAAAGCATTTGGTATATCAGGATCATTATATAATCCTACTAACTGGACAGAAGAAGTTAAGGTCATCGAGCAGATTAAATTATCCTCAGAAAGAAGTTAAAGAGGCAAGTTGGTTCAAAGCGCTACACACCAGGGTAGAAGCTGCGCCCGATCTTGTAAAGCAAGGCAGACAACACAGTCAGATGATAACAGAGACTACCTTAGTAAACTTTTAAATTGAGGCCAGTAAAGAGTTGACATAAATATAAACAGGGTAGAAGTCAGGCCCGGAGCTCACAACAATAATCTCAGCACTCTTGGGAGGCCAAGAAGGGAGGATCACTTGATGGGTTTGAGGCCAGCCCAGGTAACATAGTGAGACCTCATCTCTACAAAAAAAAAATTAGCCAGGCATGGTGGCCTGTGTCTATTGTCCCAGCTACTTGAGAGGCTGAGGCAGGAGAGCTACTTGAGCCTAGGAGGTCCAGGTTACACCGAGCTATGACAGCACCACTGCACCCCATCTCAAAAAAAAAAAAAAAAAAAGATGGTAGAAACAATCTGATTATCTGCAAAATGTAGCTAAAGAAAGATGGCTATTATTCATTTTTAAAATACAAAACTTATTACAAACATTGTATACATAAATCAGTGTCATTCCTAGAGCAGATAAAAGGGTTTCACCACTGAGCGAGACTGTACAAAATCATCTCTCCACCCAAGCATGTTAGACATACCTCCCTCAAACTCAACCCTTCTCCTACTGGGGTTATCTAATTTTGCAGGAAGCCAAAAATGAGCCCTAACCACATCAATGCCTGTCGCGTTTAAGGAATGTAAGAACCTGAATGCTCTGCTTCAAATTCAAAACCAGTAAGAAAATCCAGATCCCTGTCAATTGCACTAAAAGGAAAAGCAAGATGCAATTGCCTTCTTACATGAAAATCATTTCACTGATTTTTTTATTACACACATAATACACTGTCACTATAAAAAAGGCACAAAACAATTTAGTCAATCCTCTATTAGAAATGTAGATTGTATCCAAAGTGACAGCAAAGAGACAGTGCGCAGATGGAAGGATGTGCACACTTTGGATGTGTGTACACAGACAGATATGCTTGATGAACATTTTGTACATATATTTTTGCAAGCGGGTCAAATATGTTCTTGGGCTAAAATGCTAGAGGTAGGACTACTGAGTCAAAGAGTGTGCATGATTGCAGAATTTTGGGAGACTAAGAGGGGA